TCAATTAACTCCAGGATCATGTCGAGCGCGCTTACATCAAGAATTTTACTGGATGCTATATAAGGGAACAACTGAATGCAGGAGTTGCAGGCAAACCACTAAATTCCCTCCAGGCATTCACCAAAGTTCTACGGAAAGAATTTTTTTTAATTTTAACATTTTTTAAAAACTAATTTTAAATCTAACACTGGCTTTTTTTTTAACTAACACTTTTGGCCGCGCCTATTTTCCTGGCGCGGCCAAATGCCTGTTCCGCGCCATGTATGGTGGCGCGGCAGCGGGCTGACGTGGCAACGACCGGAATCGCGATCGTTGACGTGGCAGGGCTCTGCCGCGCCACCGATCTTGGTGCGGCAGTACCGCGCCACGGAGCATGGCATGGCTGGGCCAAATAAATATCGCGAGCGAGCCCGCCTACCAAGATGCACCCTGCCTTCGCCGCCGCCGCCGCCACCAAGACGCTGCCAAGACGCCGCCCGGCCGCCACGCCGCCAGCGCGCACATTTAAGCGCCAAGCGTCAAGGCTGCCCGCTTATAAGGTACCTCCCTCTCGATTTTATGTTATTTTGATTATTATTGTTTTAGGATAATTAGTGATTTAGGATAGTTAGGTTTTACGATTATTATTGATTTATGATAGTTTGTCAAATTTAGGATAGTTAGTGATTTAGGATAGTTAGGTTAGTGAATTTGTTTGTGATTTACGTAGGTAGTTTTTAGGTTTGAGATTGTGTGTTCTAGTATAGTTATGATTTTGGGTTTAGGGATTGATTATATATTTATTATTCAGTTTATAGTTAGTTATTTAGTTAGGGATTTTGGGTATAGATACTAGTTTACAAATGTCGATACTTACTAGTGCGTGATACGTCGATTTTGATGACTTCATGAAGTTTCGTCAAATGCTTATATTTCTAATGAAGTTGTTTATGTTACTAGTGCGTGATATGTCTGTTAATGTTACTTTGAATATATACATGTGCTTTCATATTATGTTTGTATTGCATAACTAGTAGTTTAAATTTTGCAATGCTACATAATGTTAATTTGAATTTTGTTAATTTAAATACTCTAACGCTTAGTTTATCAATTTGTAACAGGATGATTCCTCCCACGCAGCATCCGTTGTACCCCATTCTTGAGGTGGAGTACGACGACCAGCACCGAGCACATATCTTGAGTGACAACGACGCAGAGGTGGCCTTGCCTACTTTGAGGCCCCGCACACACACCAGGGCACACCAGTGGGACGAGCGTTATGCGCCGTACATAGGCGTGTCGGCTTCTTTGAGCTTGTCCATGTTGTCAACCACGGTCTTCTGCTCCTTGACCCAGCACTACTTACTACAGCTATAGACAGGTGCGAGTGCATTCTTTCTACGTTAACTTTCTTGTAATAAATTTGAGGCAACTAACAGTCGTTCTATTCTTATAACAGGTGAAGGCCTGAGACCCACACGTTCTACCTACCTTGTGGCGAGATGACCTTGACCATGCAGGACGTGAAGACTATTTTTGGCCTTCGGTTGGGGGGGCTTCCAGTGACAGGGATAGTTGACAACGATCACTGGAGGAAGCTGGTGGCTCAGTTTACTGGCTTTCTTCCACCGGACGACAAGGCTTCCAAGAAAAATAAGTGAGAAATTGAAGCCTATTTAATACTTGCATTGCTTTTCTGCGGCCATCGGGTCTCATTTTCTTTGGTAAATTTCAAGAAAACTTCCGGTGTTTCGTCGTCCTGGATCATGGAGCGGTTTGATTACTTTGACCCACAGGCTGAGGAGGCTCAGATCGACAGGTTCGCTCGAGTGTGGCTTTGGCACTTTCTTGGTGCTTTCCTCTTCCTAGACGCCTCGGGCAACACCATCAGTTAGATCTTCCTTGACATACTACGCCAGCTATGGGAGAACATAGCGGCGTACAGCTAGGGCAGCGCAGTCCTGGCATGGACGTATCGACAGCTATGTGTTGCCTGCCGTCGCACCTCAAGGTATGCGAACCTTGGAGGTTGCTCGTACCTACTCCAGGTTTGGTGTTGGGAACGATGGCCCGTTGGGAGGCCCCTTAATACTGGTTTACCGGTAAGTACTTCGGTTCATTATATTCTTCGATATAGTTATATATGATGAGTTTATTAATGGTTAATTCATTATCGTGTTCAATGCAGCAATGGAACGGGCAGGATATACTCCCTACAGCTCTATTTATCTGGACGGAATCAGAGTTAGTTAGAGGAAATGCGAGGCGCAAGTACAGATAGTACACGGACGGTCTCGACGTCCTGACACAGCACCAGTTTATGCTCTCTTTACTATCATACTTGTGTCTTGTTCGATCTACACTATATCACAGCCTAACTCAATTACGAAATGTTCAGGTGCATTGGTGACCTTGGGATGCTTCGGAGCTCCAGTACTATCTCAGTCCTGTCACTAGGGACGAGTCAGAGGAGTATCGCTGCAACGTCCCTCTTATTTTCTTCCACATGGTCGAGATTCACTTGTCCGTCAGGGTCTGCAGACAGTTTGGAAGAATGACAGGCTGCCCACCACCGCTTTACTCCACCAACCAAGGATTGCACGGGTGCGTTATAGATTAATAACAAAGCTACAATTCAGAGGTGTGTGTGGTACAACTAACATTGTTTTGTTGCAGGTATGACCGCAGGAAGAGGTACAAGACCAAGGATTGGCGTGTGACACACAACACGCACATCCACTTGTGGGAGACCCGGGAACGGCAGCCGGTCCATGCGGGTCCTCCACACGACCAGCACACCTTCGACGAGTACCTGTGCTGGCTTCATAGGTCTACGAGGACACATATCAAGCCCACATACACTGAGGAGGCAATTCACGAGGACTCGGAGGAAGATGTGTACGACGTTGCCGCTAGAGAGGACACACAGCTACAGAGAGCCCCGCTACAAAGATACGTGGTAAGATACTTGAATGGTATAATTTGTTATCCATTTGGTATTAAGTATGTATACTAAAACTGTTCAACCGTGTTTCTGTACCCAGGCGACATAATTGTCGAGGCTGTCCAACGAAGCAGCGTTTCAGCTTCATGAGTCTAGAGGGCAGGGGCTAGGTGTTCTCGAGGCTTTTGTGAAGGTAAACATAAACTAGTCCGTTCCGAAATTGTTTCTTTAGTGTATATGCGTTTGGAAAATGCACTAACTTTAACGTCTATTTATACAGAAGGTGAAGAAGAGCTGCAGGAAGCTAGCTCAAAAGCTGAGTTGCATGGACACTCCTTACGAGGAACCGCCACTCCCGGCGCGGTCGGGTGGCACGCCTTCAGCCTCTTTAAGGACACCAGACGGCTCTTCTCAGTCGGTGACAGGTGCCACTTCTGCGGTGCGTACACCATCACATCATAGCACTGGGAAGGACCCTGCAACCGATGACGACGATGACGACGACGACGACCCCCCGGGCTTCCGCAGACAGCACGACCAGTGGGACGATTGGCCGTAGGACGAGATCGGCATGTCTCAGCTAGGTGGTGCCCCGCTTGGTACCTAAGGAGCCTCACAGGTACTAACAAAGGTAGTTTCTTTAAATACGTAGGCTACATGAACTAACGATCATAAAGAATTCTAAGTAATCGTGCATATCATATACTTGAAGGGTACGAGCCGTACGTACTGGCAACACGACCACACCGACGTTGGCTACACTCCCAATGTGTTGCCAACAAATCCGAAGAGACAGAGACGTCCGAAGAATCCTTACATTCTTGGGTCTTAGTTTGTTAGGTCGAACTATTATTGGCATCCGAAACTTACAGGCTTAGTTGGTTATGTTATGTCGAACTTATGTCAAACCAATGAAAATGTTATATGACAGCTTGTCAACTTGCGCACGGACTTTATTTATTTGCTTTATATTCGTTTCAATGCGTCGCAGCATCACTGCATGCGAGATTAAGTAGCAACTAGTTCGGAAACCGGCAGTCCCGGGGTATCTCGACACCGGTGGCCGGCGTCTTGCGCGAGGGGTCAAGGAAGCCGGGGTCCATGATCGCGTCGCCGTCGATCCTACAATATGGGGCCAAAAAGCCAAATAAATAAGTTCCCTTAAAAAAATATTCGTTTCAATACGATCCAATTTTTTATAATCGATTAGTTAACATGGTGGTTAACCGTATTATGAAAGACGAAAAAAATAGCATTGGCTTATCAAATTCTCTATTCGATCGTGAAAAAAATTTAACAAAAGACAGAAACAAATCCACTGTTAATTTTACGTCAAACAATATTTATAATAACTCCCACTAACGGCGCGACGCGTTCCGATTAAACCGTCCAGGTACCGCCGGGCGGGCGGGGGGCGCGGCAGCCAGGCGGGCTTGCTGCTCGAGCAGGCGAGACTGGCCGCGGGGTTTCATTCGGCTCTGCCGCGCCACGGATCAGGGCACGACGCCAATGTCGATGGCGTGGCAGACCCTGCCACGTCATTGGTCAGCGATTCAGGTCGCCGCCACGTCAGCCCTCTGTCGTGCCACCATACATGGCGCGGCACAGGCATTTGGCCGTGCCAGGGCAATAGACGCGGCCAAAAGTGTTTGTTTAAAAAAAACAGGCAGTGTTAGATTTAAAATTAATTTTTAAAAAGTGTTAAAATTAAAAAAAAATCTACGGAAACAACTTCGCCTGTACCAATAAGCAGGTGGTAGCAATCAACCGCACCCCAATACGATGTAATAATAGCTATTAGCTATAATCGAGCAACCAGAGAGGTGCGTTTTTTACAAGGATATTATGGTACACAGAAAAGGAATATATACAGACTGATATGACATCCAATCTTACAAATTTTACAGTCCTGCAAAGAGAAGTGGAAGACATCTTATTAATTGGTATATATGATAGACTAGTTGCATGAACGCAATCAAGGTAGCATACCACAAACCTGATTTCAGCTGATCCCTTGGTTTGCCATTGAAAATAACTAGACGTATAATTCTTCAAAAGAACAATGTCAGAAACCTACTTAATTGTCAACATTGTAATCTTTATACAGACTGCTTGTGGATTCATCATAATTCCACCTGCAAAATAAAAATATAAAAGCCAACCTTTTCAACTGCGGTAGTTAATAATTGTACTAATGTGCAAACTTTTGTAAGAATTTTGGTTGGGGAATTTGTGGGAGGTTGAGGGATCAAAGGTGATATCTACGAGGTTGGAGGGGGAAGCTTCAGGTCTTCGGCCCTATTTGGATCTGCTTCTTGGGTGGCTTAACTTAAAGGGTAAAATCCAATTTACAACCTTTAACTTTCGCCAAAGTCCGGATTTCAACCTCGAACTCCAAAACCGGATAACTTTGGTCCTCGAACTCTTGAAACCGTTCACTTTTCAACCCTGGGCCGGTTTCGGGCGGTTTTGGCGGATAAACAGTAACTTTTGATATTTTCGGGAGTCGTCGAAATTTTATATTATTTTTTTGAGCATCTTAACATCCTCAAATGAAAAAACTCAAAACTACAAAGTTGTAGATCTCATTGAGAGCTACAACTTTGGTATAAAAAGTATTTTCATTTAACTCCATACAAATAATATATTAGTGCTCTAATGCGGCAAGCGCTAGTAGGTGATTATTATGGTGTTGAAATTTTATATTATTTTTTCGAGCATCTTACTGTTCTCAAATGAAAAAAATTAAAACTACAAAGTTGTAGATCTCATCGAGGTCTACAATTTACATATAAAAATTATCTTCATCCGACATTGTATCGAAGGGTTTTCTATTTTTTGAAATTTGAGTCTCGTCACGCGACAAAACAATACTGTGGCATGACGAATAATACCACTGATGTTACATTTAATAGCCAGTGGACACTTAATGAGTTCAATCTAACTTAGCAAATACATCCAGATCAGAACCAATCATAACCACAATGATCCTCCCTGTTTGTGTTAGTCCCTAACTTAAGAAGCAATGAAATCCCTTGGAAATTTGCAGCCTAGCGATTAGCTTCTTTTTCTGAACGAAAAAGCCACTGAAACATGTAATGTATGCTTATATCAAGGGTAACACCGAAGACATGCTAAAACTGACTCCATGTGAAGTAACATGCAAAATGGTTTAGGCTCTGGTCGTCCTTGGTCAAGTTTTTCTTTGTTTGTGGCGAGTTTTTTGTTCTTGGGGGTGTGAGTGGGTTTTTGTACTCAGACTGGGCTTCTGTTCTCAGACCGTTGTACTTTCTTTATCAATCTCAATGAAATGGCAAGCAGCTCTCCTGCCTAGTTTGGAGAAAAAAAAAACATGCAAAATGGCAATGTTTGCAATGTTAATGGTAATGTGTTTGGCATAGAAGGCATCAACAACAGGGGTGGCAACAAGATGGGAAATGATATTGGTGCCGTTATTGATCACTACTAGCTCCAAGGGCAAAAGTAACACACAATCTCTGACAACAAAATGACAATAAAAGTCAGTGATGCCTTCATTTTCTTGATGTGTAACTAGTTGGACATCGTTCTTGTTCAACTCTCTTCTTCAAGGGCAAAAGAAAAATACAGTTACGAATTAGGCCAGTGTTAGAGGAAGGAATAAACCAAACTCAACCATCCACAAATTGGTTAAGTTTTCAATTACCATTCATGTATCCGCCTTTGCTATATCAATGTGAGACTAGCCACGGAGAAAATCCTAACTACCAAAACCAACCAAACCAGCAGCAGCATGACCTATTCCTAGTGATACACATGATTTTCTTCATTGATAAATGAGTACATTTATTAATAACAAAATGGTTTTGGGTCGGGCAACCAGTTCTGCAAACAAATACATATGTTCACTAAGTAAGGTAATATAAAATATTAAAGGATGAGAAACAGACCTGCAGAAGAAAATTGGATGCAACCTACGACCTGAACTGTCTAACTGACGTCTTCTCTTGGTCTCTTCTCTAAACTTGTCAGCATGAAGTACCTCACAAGGGCCACAAATAGTAGAAACTAATACAGTTCTTTCATCGTTTGAACCATATACCTTCAAGAAGACAACAGGAATAAGCAAACCAGAAAGTTATTACCGTAAAATTTACCAACTATCACTATAGGAACTATCCTCCTGAATACAAGGCTTATAAATATATTATATTGCTACAAGAAAAAAATGAGAAAGCTCAGATCTAGCTAATTGGCAGAAGATTTTTCATAGCATCAAGAATAAAAACTCTACATTATGATTGATAAATTTATTTCTTAATGATTTAATAATTGTGTATCTGTACAATATTATATAGGTTGTTTACGTCATCTAAAAGAAATACTGACACAGGTGAGATTCCACGATACTTATGAAAGGTAAACATTCCAATGGTTTCCAGTTTCATCACAATAGTTAGTTGGCTCACCTCATCCTCTTCAACGCATGGCTTGCTAATAGATTGTGGAATATCAGAGCCTAAGAAATAAGGATTGACCATAGCCAGTCTAGAACCAGAGTCATGCTCTTCCCATAGTGACTGTAAAATGGGCAACACAATTAGTAATCCTGCCCGTGTTTCAGAAAGAATATATTACCACACACTCTACTATAAACAAGCATAGAACCAGAGTCATGCTCTTGCCACAGTGACTGTAAAAGAGGTAAGACGATTAGCAATCCTGCCTGTGTTTGTAGAAAGAGTAGTACCACACACTCTACTACAAATAATGGTTGGTATAAACTCAAGAGGGAAATGATAGCCTTTCAATATCATGACACATGCAGTACAAAGTAATTAAGAGGCAATAAGAAAGCAAACATATACCTGCAGCTTACACGGACCGGACTTGTTACCTTCAGTGGCAAGGTGAGGCTAACTATCCAAAAATCTGAATCAAGGATACGCAGTGCTGCCGGAAAGGGAACGAGCGCTGAATTATAAACGATCAGAGAAGAGGTGTCAGCGCCAAACCTTGTGCTTGGTGAGGCGGATCCTATCTGCAATGGAGGCCTTGAGCGGGCGACACCCGAAGACCGCGGGATCCCTGGCGCGGGTGAGCCCGAGGTCCTCGACGAGCGCGCGCACCGCCTCACGCGGGAACAGCTCCCTGGGCCGCAACTCCACCTCCCCCATCACCGCGGCGGCCAGCAATCCCCGCGCCTCAGCCACAAGTGCGCTCTCGGCTGCCGTCGGGGCCCAGCCCCCCCGCGCCTTCCCCGCGGTCGCCAGCACCATCACGATCTCCGCCACCCGGCCCAGCTCCCCGCCCCCGCGCCGCCGCTTCCGCCCGATCCCCATCGCGCGCTGGCGGTGAAGGCGGAGGCGAACTAACCCTAGGTGGAGGAGGGGGAGAGGGAGGACGGGAGAGGGGTTTTGGAAGGTTCCAGAACTGAGGCGGGGAGTTTGGAAAGCTTGCTTGGCGTGGCGGCGTGGCGCCTGCTTGGAAGAGACGGGGAGGTGGAGGTGGTGACTGGTGATGGAATTTGGAACCGGTCGAAGGCAGGCCAGCAGCGACGCCGAAAGCCCGAAATCGCGACCGTAGGAGAAGTGGTGGGGGCCCGAGCATCAGCCCATCAGTGACCAGTCACCTCCCCTCGAAAAGGCAAAGTTCTTAGAAATTTCAAATGAACCACTTCAGCCTTTGAAGTTCGGATATGATTTACAGTGAAATACTCGCTCCATCCAAAAAAAAAATACAACTATGGTATCTGTGTATCGGTGTCCGTTAAAGTAGTTTGACTAGAATATTATTCATATTTATATTTCTACTAAATCGATTTATTATAAAAAATATATTTCATGATTCATTTAAGGGACAAGTGATGGCCATTCGCTGACGGACATCCACTTTGGAGTATTTTGCCAGAAGACACTCTGGTTCGGTAAAATTAGGCCACAGGACACCGTGGACCGGTTGCAGCCGGTTGAGGAGAGAGAACGGCGATGAAATGATATTCTTGCCCCTGCCTCTTTTCTTCATCCTATCTCCTTTCTTTTTTTTCTGTCCCCATAGTTCAAGCAAACAACAGTGCGGAGGAACGACTGGTCTCCTACCAAGCAAACCAAAGGGCGTTGTCGCGTCGAAGCTGTGAGTGACATGCCAATGCCCGTGGCGACAGCACGAGCGCCTAGCCGCCGGTGAAGCAACAAACTAGAGGTGCAGGTGTGGGCGTGCCGATGCCGATGCCCACGGCTGCGACAGCGGTAGACGTGGAGGCGAGCTGGTTCTTATGGTTGTGCATCCACACCTTGAGCACCTGGCGCTTGACCCCGATCTCGTCGCAGAAGCGGTCAGTAGCTGTCGTCGTTCCTTTGGATGCATGACCACTTCTCTCGCGAACTCGTGCATCCGCTCCTTCGCTTTCGGCGTGAACTTGGTCCGGAACCGCTTCGCCTTAAAAGCTGCCATCGCCGCTGCCCCACTACCCCGACGCTCTCGGGCACGTAAACCGATGCCGGAAGTAGTAGCAGCAAGGCGGCGTCTCGGAGCCGGCGCACGTGTCGAGCCACGGGGGCGGGGCTACGACGACGGCGTTAGGCATGGCGTGGTACGGCAACGTGAGGTGCGGCGGCGCCGGCGCCGGCGCCGGCACCGGCACCGCCGACGACGACGAGAACAAGGCCTACTGTATGCCGAGCAGCGCGACTGACTGGTGGAGGTGGTGGTGGTGGAAGTCTCTTCTTCTTTGTGGCGTCGGTGGCGGGCGGTAGAAGAAGCGAAAGCAAGCGGCGGCAGAAGAAGAAGACGGCGCACAGATGCGCGAGCTTGGATGGCGGTGGCGCTGGTGGAAAGCATGGTGGCACCAGCAGCCGCACACTTGAGCAAGTCCCATGAGAGGCTATGTACTTGCCACGGTGTCAAAGGCCCCGCCCGCTTGTGGTCATCACGTGGTTGTGCATGCACTCCTTGTACTTGCCAAACAACCCCCCCCCCAGCGTCGCCTCGCCCTGGCCGGGCGCCATCGAGGGACGTAAAAAAAAAAGAAAGAAGGAGAGGAAGAAGAAAGCAGCAGGGGCAAGAATGTCATTTCACCGCTGTTCTCTCTCCTCAACCAGCTGCAACCGGTCCGCGGTGTCATGTGGCCTAATTTCACCGAACCAGAGTATCTTCTGGCAAAATGCTCCAAAGTAGTGTCCACCAGCGAAGGACCATCACGTTGGATGTCCAACAGACAATTGACCCTTAATTTAATGATATTTATTTTATATCATAAATGTTATTTTTTGTATAAATTTGGTTAAACTTTTTAGCATTTGATTTCTTGAAATACTAGGAGTATCAACTATTTTAATGAGTTTATGTACCCTGATCTACAGTTTAAAAATTGATAGACCTGATGATGTTCATGACAAATTTGACTCCAATATATAGCAGGAAACTCAAACCTCACTTTCATTTCATTTAAAATATGGAGAAAATTTCCTCTCTGGTGGGGCTTTAATGCAATCATTGTTTTTCCTTTTCAATTAAATCCCTCCACTTTTTTTCTTTACGATTCCTTTATTCCTGGTTTCAAAAGGATTAATATAAGCTGTTCATCTTATCCAACCTCCATTCCAGAGCTGTAAAGGATTTTGTGCTGTGGGTAACTTTGATTACCTAAGATAATGTGCACAGATGTGTGAGTTCGTATGTACATCATTCATGAATTGGTAGAATTGAATGTAAATAACATTTATCACGAGATGTTATGTAGTATGTACAATAATGTACACATATGTGATATGTGCAAGTGTCGTACTTCAACGCTAAAATGAAACGCGCAAGGCCTGCTTTGCGGCCCAGACTCGCACTTCCCTGTATCACATATGTGATAAACTCGCCAAGCTGCTTGCGTTGAAGGTGACATCAGAACAAAGCGTCAGCTGCTCAGCAGAGGTTAAAACGTAGACGTCTTGAAGTGTGAAACCATGAAACACGGGCAAGATAAATCCATTCCCAAGCCATGAGTTCAAATAGGGCATGCATACTGTGTTCAGGAAAACACGAATCACTCCCTGAAAAGGTAACATTTTGTTATGATCAATTCAGCAAACCAAACATGATTAGAACAAATCATTCTTTGACAACAATCTTCTGATGACTACAACAATCATGACCCTAAAAACAAGTCAAATAAACAAGAGAAAAATGCACAAAGATTGCTGAGATTGACTACCTGAATCAAAGACATATGGAAGTTCCCAATTTTACTCCACTTCAACGCAAGGGAGAAATTATCTAATCCAACTCTACCATATACTTTATTGCCTGATGCATCTACAACACCTGAAGCACTGACAATCTGCAAGGAATTATATGATTAAACACGACCGGAAGATACAATACAAATATATGGTAAATAAATAACAAAGAGATTGGTTAAAAGAATTAACAAAAAATAGGCTGAAATTAAGACGATCTTTTAAAAGTATAAAAAAAAGGGCGTACCCAGTGTAGAGAGCTCCCGCTCTGTGCGGGGTCTGGGGAAGGGTGTTAGTGGCAAGCCTTACCCTCGCCTGTGCAATGCGAGGAGACCGCGACTCGAGCCCGGGACCTTCCGGTCACATGCAGTAAGACTCTACCACTTGCACCAGGCCCGCCCTTCTACGATCTTTTAAAAGTATGTATTAATGAATTTTTTTTCTTTATTGTCTCTCTTGGAGCAATGGTTAAAAAACATCATATACTGATTTTAGCATTTGATGGCTCTTACCACTGAGATGCATGCAACTGGAACTATCTCCTTGCCATCTACAACATCAATTACCATATCTGCGTTAATGGTAGCTTCAATTTTTTCTGATGTAATCCTTATCACCGGGGATGAGGCCATTGAAATATTTAGCAGCATATCGTCATTTGGGTAATTCCAGTATAAACGAGGAATGATAAATTTCCAATTAGCTGTGTTCAGTAGAGACTGATCAGGGACTTTGTCAACAACCCAATGCATTGAACCAGCCTGAAGCCAAAAATGTGTTCATGTAAGTTTAAGTCAATATATAATTGTAGAATGCAAATATGGAACATTCTAGAAGCAAAATGGTATCCTACATAATGTTGCTCTTTCTTACCTCAAAATGAACTTCTAGTGATGAATTCAATACATCTTCATCAAGTGAAAGCAAAAGCATTTTTGATGCACCACCTCAAGACAGAGAAAGCTGTGGATGCTTCTGCAGATTGGTTGTCTTAGAAACTGCTGAAGTAACCAACCCATTGATATCGAACTCAATTGAAGAATTGCCATAGTGTGGATCATTAATGAAAGTCATGTTGAAGGCAGCAACGTCGTCCAGACTGATGGTCCTGGGGAGACCTTGCAGAAAGGAGTCCAGTTTCCCAGCACCTTCAATGATATTTTCAGGTATTGCCTTCTCAACTGCAGCTTTAATATGATCTTCAAAAGCATTTATAAACCTTCGGACAAGTAGACAATACAACATAGTGGATTAAGTATGAACTTTTGCTTCTTGATGTGTCCAAGTCCAACTATATAAAATCCAGGGAACTCTGGTAAACTATATATGTTTTTACATGCGTATGTACAAATGTGCAAACACATCATAGTTACCAATATAAATAAATGACACCAATATCATCTCTTTGCAGATGACATTTAAGTGTAAGCATCCAAGGAAAGGACTCAAAACTAAACAAAAACACTCAATAGAATAGATCTTTACTCGATATATTACCCTCAGTTTAGTTAATATGACACATTTACTGATTTTAAAGGATAGTGAAATCATTGCGATAAATGCAAAAATAAATACAGCAAATATCATAATTTTTGTCCAGGAGCTTGAGATGTAGCGCATGCCAAGAGGCACATAAAACATGCAGATCTCACTCGAATGTAGGTAAAACCATAGAAACAACCACGTATTGCAGGAAAAGATAAGTAAAGTATTCTTTACTAAATGTGAGATCACTTTCAGAACACTAACAGTGGGGGCTTCCCCTGCTGTTTTTTCGGGTCCAAAAAAAAAACACTAAATACTCAATCCTCAGACGTTAATACAATTTTACCTTGACACATTTTTAAAAGAAACAGTGCATGAATTCATCTACAAAGTTGCAAAAGGAAAGCATACCCTTGATAAAACCAAGATGCTCCACCATCCAGGGATATCACTAGGTCCTTCACATAACAACCACACTGCGAAGCAGACAGAGCCAAACTCCCATTGTTGTTCTTTATAACCATGGTTATCCCAACTTCCATTCCTTGAACCTTATAAATATAGAAGGATGGTTTCTTCCTCTCAGTAAGCAGAATAAAAGATGTCAAAACTTAAAAGCATACTAAAACAGTGTAGCATAAGTCATAGCTAGATAAATCCTCAATAAAAGGGCGTACCCAGTGCAGAGAGCTCCCGCGCTGTGCGGGGTCTGGGGAAGGGTGTTAGTGGCAAGCCTTACCCTCGCCTGTGCAATGCGAGGAGACCGCGACTCGAACCCGGGACCTTCCGGTCACAGGCGGTAAGACTCTACCACTTGCACCAGGCCCGCCCTTCTAGATAAATCCTCAATAACGAAGAAAATTATCCATCAAGGGTTGTTGCTGGAATACAAAAGAATTAAAATTGGAAAGGCCAGGAGCAGGCTAATGGTGGTAATTGTTTGGTCGCTTGGGAAAGGGTGCAGCGGCCTCTTGAATATGGTGGCCTTGGGATCCATAACTTAGAACTCCTTGGCTGCGCTTTAAGGATTCGATGGCTGTGGGCTGAGAAAACTGATCCATCAAGACCATGGGCTGGTCTTCCAGTACAAGTCCCCCGCAAGGCTCAGGCCCTCTTCAATATTGCAGTAGATGCCATAGTAGGGAATGGTGAGAAAATTCGGTTCTGGACAGATAGATGGTTAAACGGTCACACCTTGGCTGAGTTGGCCCCCAACCTGTTTAATGCTGTCCCCAAACGTACAGCCAAGAGACGTACTGTTGCTCAGGCACTCCAGAACAGAAAATGGGTAGATGACATCAGGGGAGCTCGCACTGTACCAGTCCTCGTCGAGTACCTGCAGCTCTGGGACTTGGTGGATGGAATTTTTCTGCAGCAACAGGTTCCAGATCAATTTACTTGGAAGCTAGCCCAATCTGGTTTATACACAAGTAAATCAGCTTATGCTGCCTTCTTTGTGGGAGCCATCAGGTTTGGTCCTTGGAGAAGAATTTGGAAAAGCTGGGCGCCTCCTCGTTGCAAATTTTTTATCTGGTTGGTTTTCCACAATCGGTGTTGGACGGCCGATCGCCTTGCGAAGAGGGGATTGCCCCATCCTGAGGCTTGCCCTTTGTGTGATCAAGCTGAGGAGACTATTCATCATATCCTGGTTGGTTGTGTATTCACTCGTCAATTATGGGCTCGAATCTTCCAATACTTGGGTCTCAATTCTCTATCGCCAGAACCTACAGCATCTCGTTTCTCTAAATGGTGGTGGAAGGCAATATCGTCAGTGCCCAAGGTGGAACGGAAGGGTCTCAACTCCCTGATAATTTTGATAGCCTGGGAGGTGTGGAAGCACCGTAACTCATGTGTGTTTGAAAATGCCACGCCAAGCATCCAGGAGGTTCTTAGGGCTGTCAGCACTAAGGGCAATCTTTGGTGCAGGGCTGGAGCAAGAAAGCTCCAGGAACTCTTGGTCAGGGAGCCGGCCGTGGGGGTATAAGGCAGGCGGTTTTTGTCTAGTCGACAAGAATTTAGTTTGTGGCGCGCCTGTTTTAGTTAAGTGAATGGGTGTGTGTTGGTGGTGTTTTGTACTTGAGTAGGGTCTATTTAGACTCGTGTATTTTATTTCTACCTTAATGAAATGACGCGCAGCTCTCCTGCGTAGTTCGAAAAAAAAAAAAGAATTAAAAATTTTCCCAATGGAGGATCAAACTATTAAAGAAGTGCAATTAAGAGGTAAATAAAGATTGTAATAATAGCCATAAATAGACTAGAACTGACAAGTTACCGATGTCCAGTAGGTACTGTGTCATCATAGGCAGCCAAACTAATAGTACTCGAAAGTAACCAGCCAAATAACGACCTAGAAACAATGATACCCAGAATTGTTTTATACCATGAGTTAATGATTATTCAAATATTTATTTACATAGTCCATCAAAATTTTTGTTGAAGCACACAAGCATATCTAGAACTGATTGTGATTGATGATTGATATCTTGAAAAAAAAAACAAATACTGGAAGATTTGCAGCATGATCCACCATTCTAACTTCAAACAGGACATGCCATGTATCATTTGTGTTACTGCCTTATCGGAAGACTATTCTTGACAGAAATAAGGGGAACTACAACTTAACTAAATATGAAAAGTTGAAAACTAATGAAGATCCATGGAAGAAAGGCAACCACACTAATTTGATCGAAGCATGTAAACTAGATGATGTCATTCCTATCCAATATAAACTAATATCAACTGACGTGACGAAATGTTCTGCGTCCCATTAATTGGGATTGAACTGATAAAGGATCTAAGAAGATAACTGTCCTCCTAAAGCCAAAATTTAGTCAAGATGTTCTTAAGAGGTTCACAAGACCATTGTTAGAATTTGTTATAAAGAAACTTCATCAAGAGAGTGTATCCACACGTGCTAACTCTATATGCCCAGATTTCTATAAGAAGCAAAATTGTCCCTTCGTTGCAACAGCACAACAAGTCAAACATTTACATATGTAAAATATAACTATATAAAGTAACCTCGATTCCAAGCGAAGAATAGGACAGGGGTGAAACTGATTTGTATTTGGTGGCAGTTTGGGTAAATAATGTGACATATATGGGGTAGAACGGTGGTGATAGTAGGCATACGCATACCATCACAGCCAACTATGCAACGTTTGAAGCAGTAGAACTACGGGTATACAACACCAAATCTAAGTACAATTCACATAAAAATCTAGAACAATCAGCAACAGCTATGGACACCCCCACCCCCTCTCAATTACCAGGATCGAGGCGGTTCCGCTGTCGGCGATCTCTATGGGAAACAACCACGAATCGTAGCAGTAGCTCCAGTGCATACTGAGGCGACGACGAGAAGGCCCGAGTCCCCGGGGAAGATAGTGGAGTTGTCCCCGACGTCTAGGTGGAAGAGCGTGGTGTTGGAGGCGGCGACGCGGACGCCGCCGAGGAAGGGCACGCGGACGGCCTTCTCCACCCCGGGGAGGCGGAGCGGGGTCAGCGACCGCACGTCCTTGGCGAAGGCCAGGCCCTTCTCCGCGACCGCGACGGAGACGTGCGCCTCGTCGGCGCCGCTGGCGAACGCCGCCGCGGCGGCGGTGAGGAGGAGGAGGTGAAGGGGACGGAGACGAGTCATGGTTGATTTGGGGTGGACGCCTGGACGGTGGAAGCGTAGAAGGAAGGTGGAGCAGTAGTGATTGAGACGGCGGCTATGTTAAACGTCCGGTTGTACTAGCAAACTTCTAGAAAAAGAAAAAAGAAAGAAACTTCTGGTTATAGGTCCTTTTTCTCCTAATCTACTTGAACTTCTTTATTATAGTTCTAATAATATGATAACAATAAATTTATAAAAAAAATACTAGCATCTACAATCTACCAGTTATCAGATAATTATACTGTTCAAATATACGTATTTCATAATGAATTTAATAAAACTAACAAAGAAGTGCATTTTTAACCATCAAACTATTGCACGAGTTTAATTTTAGCATCAAACTCACACGCCGAAAATTTGGGGCAATTCAACTATCAAAGACCGTTCTCATTTGATCGTGGTTTTCATATATTTTGTGAAGCTTGTGCATGCAATTAATGTGCCACAATTGTTATCTTAGTATTTAAAATCTGTTAAATATTTATTTGCAGCCTTCATTTGTCAAAAACCCATGTGTTTACCTCAGTTATGTTTACGATATTATCACTAATCTCTTCCTTATTCACATCCATGACATTAATACTTTTTTTATCTGCCACACTAGCGCATCTGGACGCCTGTGTCCGTTTGGACACCCACGGCTGCTCCGCCCCGTCCGCTCGGATTCGTGTGCCACCCGCGCTAGCTTCGTTTCCTGCGCTCGCATCCTAACCGTTCGCTTTTCAGATCTGTTGTCCATGCTGCTCGGATGACTCGCCCCGCCTCTTCCACACCAGCACGGCGCCCGTCTCTTCCAGGTCGCTCGGAAGACTCGCACCCGCCTCTTCCACAACAACACCGCGCGCCTTGTGTCTCCTCCCCACATCGCCTGCGACGGCTGCGCCTCCTCCACGGGTCGGTGCCCACGGCTTAGCCCTGCCCGCCCTCATGGACACCAACGCCGACGGTCTGCACTTGCAACATGAAACACTCGAATGCAAACATACATTTGAAACGGATGAAACATTTGAGACATATGCTTGCAACATTTGTGTAAACATATGCAACATCCAGATAAAACAATTGCAACATGAAAAACACTTACTGAAAACAACTGAAATATTTGGAACATACTGTTGCAACATATGTGTGAAAACATATGCAACATCCAGATAAAAACGATTGCAACATACATCTGGAAACATATGAAACATTTTGAACAAACGCTTGCAACATGCTTCTGAAACACTTGCAACATGTGCAACATTCTCCGATCTACTTTTGCAACATCCATAAGAAACAACTGCAACATACCTTTGAAACGACTGAAACACCTAAAACATACATTTACAACATAGGGAGGGGAAACCTGGGTCGATCGATGTGCAACGTCCCCCGATCTACTTTTGCAACATCCATAAGAAAAAACTGCAACATACCTTTGAAACGACTGAAACATCTAAAACATACATTTGCGAATATAGGGGAGGGAAAGTCTGGGTCGGTCAATTCCAACTGTCGAGGTCGGGGAGGGGGGAGCGGCGACGCAAGAGCACCACCACCACCACCACCACCAGTACCAGGCTTGGCTCGGTGGCGATGGTGGAGGATGGGGGCGAGGAGCGCCATGGCCGCCGGGGTACGGGAGCTTAGTCGCCGAGGTGAGAGAGGGCACCGCCGGGAGTGGAAGGGCGCCGCGCGCGGGGTGGAGGAGAGCCACCCACTTCCCTGCAACACCGCCGCGCAACCTCCATGGATCTCGCTCCTGCACCATGAATCTCGTCGGGGTGGCGGAGAGGGCCGTCGGATCTATGAGCATTGAGGGCTCCCGGTGTGGAGGACGCGGGGAGTTGGTGAGCTACAGTAGGGGATGAGGAGCGCGCAAGGGGTAAGGGCGGGAGCGGAGAGGACGAGACTTGTGGAAATTGATTTTGTTTTTTTTATTAGACGAGAGGCACATGTGACAGTGAGTGGAGCGATGCGTTCAGGCTTCCAGACGTCTGAACAGCGTTTTTTTATTTGACACCGTACGGGCTCTGATATAGAAAGTGGCGTATGAGTCCTTTTGGTAGCCACCACATCGTCGAAATGGATGGTCAGTGAAGAAAATAGGCGGAAGTATGGAGAAAAAATTCAATTAGGTGCTAAAGAAATATTTTGATTTTGAGAGTGTCTCGAAAGAAAGATTTTTTTTGTCAGTGCCCAATAGTAAATTCTCTCAGAAACAAACGATGGGAGCGCTCCTGCCGCCCACGGATCGATCCGGATCGTCCGTCAGCTGCCACGAGCCCAGAACAGTCCCTGCGCGCCGGGATCCGCGCGATCGCGTCACCGACGCCTCCGAAGCTGTGAGGTGTGAGCAGCTTAGCTAGTCGACTCGGTTCGCTTCCTGCAGTGCCTGGGGCGGCCGCAACGCAAAGGGGCCCCGGAACCACGCGAAAACGCGGCAAAACACCGCAAAATCTCGACATCCAACTGCGCGGCGTGGGTGGCGGCGGCGGACGACCAATGTGGAGGGGGACGCGCATGTATAGCCTCCTGGGCGTCCTCCTCCTCCTGGTCCTGGTCTACCTGAACTGGCTCCCAGTCCGCGGCCCCTCCGCCGGCGGCCCCGGTGGGTTCAAGCTCCCCATGCCGTGGCTGCAGCCGCGGATGTCATTCGTGGGCCGCGCTGGCACCCACTTCGTCGACGCTGTCACGGGCGCGCCGATCTACGTCAACGGCTGGAACTCGTACTGGCTCCTCTCGGCCCGGTCCCCCGCGTTGTCCGCCGAGATGCTGCGCCGCGGCCGCCGCATGGGGCTGACGGTCTGCCGCACATGGGCGTTCAGCGACGGTGGCCCCGGCGCGCTGCAGATCTCCCCAGGCCGGTTCAGCGAGTCTGTCTTCCAGGTCCGGGTTGCTCCGTCTTCATTCCCTTCTCTTTCCCTCTACAAAAGCTATTGGGACGGCGGACGGCGCAATTTGTTTTTGACTGTCAGTTAGAGTAGAACCGGTTCCGCCTGCTGAATCTAACTAACGAATGTCCTGTAATGATTCTCCTGCGCCAAAAGCATACCATACGTTACGTCGAAATGTAGCTAACAAACAGCCAAACAGGTGCGTGTGTAAGCACGTGGATATGCCACTCGATGGGCTTATTAGTTATGACACCATGAGAACATTGTGACTTACAGGAATGCTTTGGTATCATGATCATGACACGCATAAGCTGATTGGAGTAACCTTGTTTGATAACCTATCTTACAAATTCAATCAGTTACTAACAAACCAGATAACAGTTACAGCCACTGGACTACAATGTTTTTGGTGATTGTACGAATCTTATTGGCATAATTTTGTGCGACGAAAAGAACCTCAACAAATTTGAAGAAAAGCACCTAATACGTTTAACAGGTCCAAGTAGTTTGAATCGCTTCTGAATGTGCACTATCCCAATCTGTAATGTTCTTATTAATTTTTGTAAGCTTCAACATTCCTGTCCTTTGACAATCTCAACAACTATGCTATGCACCAAAGAGGAAAGAGGGTAAACATTAGTTAGTGAAGTTGATATTTCAGTCACTGGATATCTTTGCATATTATTATTTTACTAGGGTAAATGATGCAAATATAGTTATATACAATAAATGGTCTCTTAATAATGTTAAATAATTAAATGACAATTTCCAACAATTGGTGACTGTTTAAATCGATGGATTAATAATTACAGGACTTGAGCAATATCACTAGCTTACTTACAGTCATTTGAGGAAACAACCAGTTTATATTTCCTTGGTTAAGAATGAGTTGAAGTTTCAAATGCTTGCACAATGGGGGTAGAATATCAACTATATTTAGGAGCCTTTTGAAGTACAATTTGTTTACATCCTGGCTAGCTACAATTTATAGACTTTGTCCCTTTCTCAAATGTTTGTACTTCTTTTTGACTGGCTTTAGGCATCTGTGAGGTGTATAGTCTTTATTTTTATTTTTGTAGATGCTGGATTATGTGATATATGAGGCCCGAAGAAATCATGTTAGATTGATTCTATGCCTTGTCAACAATCTTGATAACTTTGGAGGGAAGGCTCAGTATGTTCAGTGGGCACAAGCAGCTGGTGCTAATGTGACAAATTCTACGGATTCCTTTTTCTCTCACCCAACTATTAAAGGTTACTACATGGAGTATGTAAAGGTAATCGTCATGTATTAAACATATTTTTTTCATTTTTTTATTGTGCTACCATGCTTATATTAGTTTTATATTCACTGTATTTTTTGTCGGTTACTTTATTAATGGGCTTTTGCAATATAACAAATTTTAACCAAAACATGTTTGCACAAAATGTCAATATTAAGAATTTAAGATGATATTATCAGAGTGACACTTACTGCAATGAGTCATAGTTTCTATTGTCCGATACTGATTTTTGCTGCAAGTCATGATTCTTATCGTAGTGGCAGCAACAGGATTAAATATCAAATAAATGTGTTTCATATGAGAATAGTGTTGCTCTGGGTAAAGAAATACAAAGTATTGACACGCTCAACTCGATAGCTTATTAGATGAGTGCATCTGACTTACCATTTCAACATTGGTTTAGGGCACCCTCAACAGTATGAGATAATGAATAGCTTTAAGATAACTTCTCTAATGGTACTAACTTTTAGCACGTAGCTCTAATATGAATAGCGCCACATAAGAGTGGATATTTGGCATCCCCTTGTTGCCGCATGGCCTATCTGGGCCGGGCCAGGCCGGGGCGGTGCGTGCTGGGGTCTGGGTGGAGAGGCCGCCGCCGCGCGTGCTGGGGTCCGGGCGGGGAGGGCGGCGAAGGCTGGGGTTGGCAAGTGGAGGCCAGGGCCAGCGGTCAGGCGCTACGAAGGCCGGGGCGACGCCGGAGCTGCAGCTACCGGGGTGGGGCGCGGCGTCGTCTTGGGAGGCCATGGGCAGCCATGCTATCGGCGCCATCAGTAGAGGAGAGAGAGAAGAGATGCTTGAAGATTCGTGTTGCAGAGGAGAACGATGGCTGAGATAGCCCGTGCGGCCACATATACATGCGGTCTTGCTTTTCCGAGCCCCACATGAGAATCTCACATGATCTTGAAGTGTGCGCATGAGACTAGCTCTTGATCAAGAGATAACTTTTCTTCTCTTCTATTAAAATATGAAATAATATGCTTAGAGCTAGCTCATAAATCACCGTTGGAGGTGCCCTTAGTGGAGCCTGAGTTGTGGCCTGCATTAAAATGTTTGCTGTGATGGTTGTGTCTATGCAGTGAACAGCATAGAGGGTGCAATTATACTAAATATGCTAATATAGCTTCTGTACTCCTATTTTCTTACCCATCTAGCCATTGAACTTAATTATGCAAGACCAGTGTTATGAAATGTCCATATTAATGAATTACTACCCCTTGACGCACACATGTTTGATCCTCTTCTTTAAATAAAGATCATTCAGGCTAACACATTGAAACTTTATACTTGTTTTATTAACCTTTTGCCATACCGTCATGTTTGCCATGTTGTGTTCTAGTGTTGCTTTACACTGTCCACTGTAAAAAAACACTTTTTCGCTTCATTATCTATTTAAGAAGATTGTTGCTTTATGCTATCCACTGTAAAAAACACTTTTTCGCATCAGTGCCTATTTAAGAAGATTGTATTTTCTCCAATCTAACCTGTTGAGATAGCTTTTAGCCGTTTCACTATTTCTGGCAAAGAAATCCCATTATTTCATCTCAAAGCTACATTATTGTTATTGACAGGCAATATTAACCAGAAGAAACTCTTACAGTGGAATCAAATATTGTGATGAACCTGCTATATTTGCTTGGGAACTTATGAATGAGCCTAGATGTGTATCTAATTCATCGGGTCCTCATATTCAAGTAGCGTACTATTTGAGACACCCTTTGCTTATAAAGTGGGCATATGAAATCATTAATTCCTTATAATTAAACCTGGAGTTAATTTGCAGGCTTGGATAGAAGAAATGGCAGCATATATTAAGAGTTTGGACACAAAGCATCTCATTACAGTTGGTATTGAAGGATTTTATGGCCCTGGGAGAGGTGAGAGGCTGGGTGTAAATCCTGGAGACTGGGCAGCTTCACTCTGCTCTGACTTCATACAGAACTCAGCTGTCAAAGATATTGATTTTGCCTCGGTTCATGCTTATCCTGATAGCTGGTCTGTATCATTCCATTTTCTGTACTGAATAATTTTAATTGTACCATGTCATTGATGCATCTTTTTTCCAGGCTACCAAAGGCAAGTATGGAAGAAAAAGTCAAGTACCTTTCTGTCTGGGTTGATTCACACTTGAATGACAGTGAATACGTCTTGAGAAAGCCTGTCCTGTTTTCTGAAGTAGGTTACCTCCAACATGCAGAAGCTAACAGCACAGTTGATGGAGACACTCTTCTAAAAGTTGTTTATGATAAACTATACAATTCAGCAAAAAAGCTGCAGGCAGGAGGTGGCGCTCTTATTTGGCAGTTGATGGTTGAAGGCACGCAGATGTACCATGATAACTTTTCCATGGTGGCACGGGATCGACCCTCAACATATAATCTGATAAAGGAGCAGTCATGCCGACTGCAAAGTCTATATGGAAAAGAGGAAGACCCTAGTTGGCAATGCTCATTACCACCTTAGGGTTTTCTACTATTGATATCGAAACATTCCACTTCATCAGACACAAACTGGATTGCTGGAACCACCAGCAAGGGTATGCTATTGGAGATAAAGATGAAGATTAGGCAAATGGTCAACAGACATCTCTGTAGTAAATAGCTTGTTCATAGAATCATTGCTGAAGAGCTAGACTGCCAGTGGAGAATCCACTTGTGACAACAAAACATGCATTCTGTCACATGATGTACATTGGACGGTTAATATGACCTAGAGGTCAAAATGAAAGGAGCACCAATACAAGTTATGGCATCGAATGCTGCATGTGCGAAAACCTCATATCTGTACCAAATGTGCATTCAAAAATGCTAAAATGCATTATGTCTTTGTTATGGTGACCATTAAATCAAATGTTTGCATGTGTATGTGTTTCAGGCCAGTGGCCACACGCATCTGTGCTTGCATGAACGTCCACTGAAGCAGATGCCTGCGGCACGGAACGGAAGCTTATCACCGCTCTACTCAGGTAGAAGCAGAACCGTAGAACTGTTCCTTTTCTTTAGAACATATTTCCCACAAACTGAAATGTTTTTTTTTGTGTGCAAATTGTCTGCTGACACCCAAAGGCCAGAGCATTAGACAGAAAGCACCCATTACACCTTCTTTTCGAGAGACACGTATATAGGATAAAGCCCGGAGAAACAGCCTTCGGGCTGCCTGGTGCCTGCACTTACGTGCCACTGGACGGTTCTCAAAAACTCTTCCACCACTTGTCCCTGCGACCCGAAGTGTTGCGCGATCATTGGTTCGTACTCAGCTCTAGTTGCGAGAGCTACCATCTTTGGGGTCATGGAGTTTTTTTTTTGTCCATGTCACTAATGACATCACGGGCCAGTATCTTGTTGATCATGAAGGAGCCCTCATCTTGGATGATTTCTCTTGGCTCCTTATCAGAAGGGCCATACATGGGTAAGTAGAACGAGTCTAGCTTTTCTCTGTCGATGACACCCTGCTAATGAATGAAAGTAAGCATTAGCCGAAAGAAAATGAAAATAATGTCTCTTGACTCTTGAGATTAGTACAGCTGCAAGTTAAAGGCACGCCGAAGAGGCGAAAACTAACATACCCTTGATGCCATGTCGTTTAGCATAAAAGCTGTACCATCGCATAGTAGATTTGACTGGCATGTACTGTCACTGGAACAGTGGCCTGGTAAGGAGATCACCATCTGCCCCTCTGGGACTAAGGGCGTTTCTAAAAAATTTTGCGCAGTACCCATCACATCGAATCTTGCGGCACATGCATGGAGTATTAAATGTAGACAAAAAAAAAAACTAATTGCACAGTTATGTGAGAAATCGTGAGACGAAACTTTCGAACCTAATTAGTCCATAATTAAACACTAATTGCCAAATACAAACGAAAGTGCTACAGTAGCCAAAACCTAAAATTTTTTACATCTAAACGCGCCCTAAACTCTTGAGCTCTCAAGTTCAAGAACAGCATGAAATCCTTCCTGAACTGCCGAGCTAGCATAGGCCTTAAGCACCGCCTTGCTTGCCTGAGACCCTCATCGCAGTCGTACAGAGGGATCCCATTCTTTCTTAGATCTTCAGGTGCCTTTTAGTTACTGCAGATGTAAGACAACAGGAACAGGTGAAGCGAGAATGTAGTACAGGGCAGGCCTGACTAAAGTGGTTACCTCCGACAGCCAATGCACACTGTTCGATGCAAGAACTAGATGCAAGGAGCTACTGATAAAGAGCCTCTTGTAGAATGAACCAGGTACAATAGCAGTCAAAACAGGGCCGAAACTTGCGGGCTTGCGGCATCCTTTTGGAATGCAACCAAGCGCTCTGCAACGCTGCTGAAGTCATTGTCTGGAAGATCGTTCTTTTTCAGAAAATTGGTTGTATAGCATCGAAAGATCGCGATCTCCGTAAAATACCACCAAAAGTTTACGCCCCCGTGAAATAGCACCGAAAGGATCCACCGTGAACTGGAAGTACCATTCCGTCAAATTTTGCATACATAAACGTTAACCTAAGCTAAAACCTAGACATGAAATTACATATTTCCCCTTACCTTATCCTATCTCACTCATCTGAGAAGGCACTCAAGTCGCTCGATTCTCAGCTCGGCACGCTCGCTCACCCCTTCCGCCGCCGCCGCCGTGGGTTCCAGCACACGGGTCAGGGCATTGCCTCTGCCGGCCACCGCGTGGGTCTAGACACCGCCTCCGCCGGTCACCGCGCTGCGTGCGCGGCGCCTCAGCCAGGCTGCCAGGCGCCCCCTGCGCGGTGCCTCCGCCAGGCCACCGGGCGCCCTTGCGCGGCGCGGCGCCTCCGCCAGGGCGCCGACATCCCTGCTCACCACCTCCCGCCGGACGCCAGATGCCCCTCCACACTTGACTATGCAATGCATGAATCTGAGATTCCCGATGCGTAAGAATGAAACCTTAGCTATTTACTGCATCTTGTAGCACCACTAAAATTAGTTGCGGCATGTGATTGTTTGTGATATCCGGTTCATTTGTGTGTGCGATCTGGTATGAGGATGATCAGTGATGAGAAAGGACTTTTGGAAGCAGTGCTAATTTGTTTGCACTGCTACTATTTTCAGGATCGATCCGACCAATGCATGTAGAGTAGTGACTGATGTTTCGTCCTACTCAACTGTTGAGGATGATCGATCCGTGTACAAAAAGGGCAGACGCTTGGATTGGTGGGTGGATTCCGAAGAATACTCCATCATTGACATGGAGAAAGATGTTTTCAAGCACTTCAGTTGGGCTGAAGCAAACTTCTGGTTTGTGGGTCAGAATAATCTAACAGTTCACCTTGGTACTGAACAAGAGCTTCTAACTTTGCTGCGAGCTTCAAAATTGGTGGAGTTTATCATGATTGTTGATAGATGTGAGCATGTTGATATGGCTTGTACTATGACTGAAATGGAGAATGGAAGGCAAGTGCCAAATGAAGAGAATGACCTACAGCTTCAGGTCACAGAAATGTTTCAGGGGATGCATGTGAGTGTAGAATTGGATGGTCTAGAATGGGCCTTGCAACCGCAACTTGGTGTTACAGCTACTGGTCCTTCCAGAGTAGAGGAGGAGGGAGTGGTAGAACCGTCTAATCTAATGCCCTCCCAAGAGTACTTGTCTTCCATTAGACATTAAGTACCCAAGAGAGTGCACTAAATCATGCTGTTTCGTCGAGCACACCCCAAGGGAGAACTCAAAAATCCACATTTTTTCATCAGGATCATAAATGACAGAATAAAGCTTACAACATTCTTAACCATTTCTTACATCACTTTATTACAACATTAGATTACTTAAACAAGTTGAATGCAATAGTGAAATTAAGACAGTTTTACATGTAAAAGAGTTTATACATTTTAGGTTTACATTTTTATCTTGCAGTGGAGAACAATATATGATCAGAATTACAGCGGAAATAAAGATTAATGGTGAATCATAAACCTTTTCTTCTAAAAACTTTTAGTGAGGGTTATAAATAAACACTATGGTCGTAGCGTTAAAGGAATCCTCTCTGAGCCCACTAGAAGGTTTTCACACACAAAAGTCGTCTACTATCCATCGATCACCTGCAACAGGGGGAATAAAACAGAAAAATAAAAGACTCCAAGGATATACAAGGCTTATTTGTCTTGTGGGTTATTGCATGTGCGGAAGCATTACTAAACGTGTGTTCTTATATTAAATTTTATTAGCAGTCATCATTAGTTCATTAACTATCCATTCTATGTAAGCACCTATGCTACTTTCAAACAGGTGGTGAGCAATCAGAACCATTTTATCACCTTTCAAGTTCTAGTTCTTACTACGGTGCTAGGCCATAGCCAAGTCGGTACCGTCTCACAGAAACGGCGATTCGCGAATCAATGTATCCTAGTTGGGTACCCCAAAACACACGCCCCGTTTGTACCCCAGGCACAAATGAGACCAACCCATTTCACTCCTATCGAGGGGTCTAGGTCCCTATCCAAACTTAGACTCCAAGCCTCGACACTTGAGACCCGGTCTCAGCATGGTGCTTAGACCTCCACCTTTCCCCACCTCCAATCAGTCAGTCCAGAAAGAGCCGGGACCCACGACAAGAGCGCAACGAGCCTTCCCGCTCCCATAAGCAAGTATGGGCCTGTTCGTTTGTCTGAATTTTGAAGGAATCTGGATGGTTTGGAGGAATGGTAGAGGAATTTGTGAGAGAAAAATACTATTCCGGATGAAAAAATAAGCGGATCAAGCCGGGTTTAAGGGCACGCGAACGGGGCCTATGTGCTCAGGATAATAAGTCTATGACCTGACTACCATCCACAGCAATGGACAGTCCTCAATCGACACAAGCGAAACAAGTACAATCCGAGCCTCGCTCGAATGCCTAACCAAGTCCAGATCCAAAGTACCATTCCGCCCAATCTCCAATTACCCTCCATATATATTCCATGTGATAGTAATATAATAACAACAATAATATCTTTCCTATCTCTCGTGAGTGACAGGTAATCACTCGACTTCTATCAGATCCTATAGCATAGCAATCTATACGATCCTGACATACTAGTAGGACTCATAGGATAAGGATATGTATATGCAAGTGGATTTCATTCAACTCCTTAAAACTTGATGCACAAGTATAAGATAAAGTGTAGAATAATAGGGGTTATGCACCGGGGCTTGCCTGGGTAAGATATAACCAAAGGTTAGCACTCCATCGTGGTGACACAATCATCAAGGCACCATCTTTTCTGCTACCCTAGATGACTCCGTGATCCATCGTTGTTCCTATTATGATATACGTGGATGCAACGTAGAGACATAATTAATCAATGGCAACCACAACTCTAAGAATACGATTATGCCTCGTAAGCTAACGAGATAGCTCTAATAACTAACGTGCTAGGCTACGTATCCATGTTGCCGAATAAGGCGTTATTTCCCGACAAGCGTTTTAGTCCTATAATCCAGGGTGTTTCTTTATTTCATTTCTTTGATTTAATATATATTCTCACTAGGGCTCATTAGCTATCTTAGCAAACTAATTATTATGGGGCTATAAAAATTACAGTGAGCACCTAATAATGTTAGGAGTTTACTGTGAAAATTTCAGAGCCAACACTACTACCAATTCATCATAATAATTCCTACAAGTTGATGTCTTAGCAATATTAAGTATCTCAAATTAATTAGATTGCTCTTGAAAACACTATGAAACTATGTGAACAAAATATACTAGCAGATAGATCATGCTTTTAGGAACCTAACAAAATTAGTTTCATAATTTTTGGTCAACTACACAAATTTTCATTAAATTTACAAGTTTGCCTTAGAAACTAAATTAGAAAATACTTACGGAAAAGGGAAAAACTAGCGGCAGCCAATTCGGCCAAGCAGCTCCCTGCCCCAGCGCAAGTGCAGCTGCGCGCGCAGCAGGACGGCCCAATAAGCGGCCCACGGCGGAAGCGCTCCGCGCGCGCGGCGTTTATGCGAAAGCGACCCTGTATTTCTAGTAAATCCACTCGAAGTCCAAACCCTATTTATACCTCTCTCTGACATTCGCGCTTAACCCCCTGGGTTTATCCCAATTCGAGCGCGTGTGCCCCTGGCGGCCCAACGCACGACGGCGCGGCGCCTGCTGGCACGCGATGACCACACCGGCACCGGGAGCCCCTGATGACTCCACAAAGAAGCCGACCACCACCCAGGGTTCCCACGGCTACGCTGGGAGATGGTTGGGGACTCTAAGGGGTATCTAAGCCCAGCCAACCATGGCGGTGGCCGGGGCAATGCGTTTTGCGATGACAGCGAGGCAGTTCTAGTGATCTAGCGTGGCTAACGAACTAAAGGGTGAGCAAATGGGCTACAGTAGCTTATAGGGATCATGGTCGACGCGGTGGTTTCGTCAAGGATGGGCCAAGCGGAGCTGGCCACGTACGAGCCGGCAGAGCGGCGGTGCTCCAAGATGGACACCGACGTATCATCTCATTGCCGATGAAGATTTTGCTTAAAATAAGGCAAGCACCGATACGAGAGGGTCAACCCGAGCCCCAAAACGCCATCAATTGAATCTTCACCCTAAGATTGGGACTTACCCCCAATCCACTGGTCGCGGTGGCGCCCATGGCCGGCGGCGAGCAAAACACCCAATTTTCGATCGGTAGTGCTCGGGCGGGCTTGAGGAGGAGGGGATGCCTAATTAACTTCTT